GTCTTGTTTAAATTTAGGGATAACTTATTGGAATCCATTCATCATTTGATTTTACTTAACTCCGTATTCATCGTTGTAATAAGTTGTTTATAATTGTCACTGGAATATAATATATTGGTGTCATCTGCAAATAAAATCATTTTTAATATGTCAGATTTTTAAATATGCCATTTATGTACAAATTAAATAATTTAGGTCCCAAAATTGACCCTTGTGGCGCTCCACAAGCAGTACTCCTAAATCTGGATGCAGTACTCCTAAATCCATTCATTTTCACTTTGCACAAGAAGTGGTTCAACAAACACTTTTAGTATCACAGCCATGATTTTGTCTTTATTTTTTATTGAATTGTATCAAATCGATTTTAAATATATTGTATTGAATCGAAAAGCTCACTGTATCGAGGTATGTATCATATCGGCAAATTCTTAATGATACCAAGCCTTAGTTGCAACTCTAGATAAAAGCGATTTCAGAAGCATGGCTCTTTGCAGTGCAGTTTCCTCGGCTTTATGTCTGTCACAATCATTACTACTGATACTTTGGAACCAATAATTTGGGAGAGAACCACATTTAAAGTTTGGACCGGTCAGAAGTTTTAGAACACCACACTTTTTCCATTTTTTTACTGTTTACTGTTTACTGTGGACCAAAACGTATTCTAAACTTTTGATTCATGAAAGTGTCCAGCTTTGGCAGATGTAACAGCTGAACATACTCGTAGCTTGTTCTTTTTACAATAGAAATCATATATTTGTCAGAAAGTTCTTCCCAAGTCTGTTGCAGAAGTTCCCATAAATGTGTGGCACTTGTAGGTTTCTTAGCTTTCACTCTTCTGTCCAGTTCATCCCAAAAGCAGCTCGATAGGGTTTAAGTCTGGAGACCGTGCTGGACACTCCATGTTTTCAAGCTTTTCATCTTGTTTTTTTTTTTTTTTCCCTGAGGTAGTTTTGGCAGAGCTTGGACTTGTGTTTTGTATCTTTTATCTTTTTTTTTAACCTCTGGCTGTTCAGTTCTTACCTTTGTACCATTTCAAGCTCTTCATTGGACTTGCACGACTTGAATTGCAAAAAAATAACGAACAATTTAGTGGTACTGTAATTAAACCTAAAAGCACGTGCAATGTCCGTACGCTAAATTAGGTGTTCAAGTTTCACTCATTTACTTTCCATAAAATGGATTATGATACATTACTTATAATGTAACCTCCTATGCACATTTCAAGCTCATTCATAAAGTGTTTCAACTTTTCTTAATTTATTGTATTTGAGAATTTAAGTACAATTCTCATTCATCGTATTTCCTATCTGCATCATAAAACACACAATACAACAATAGTCTTTTCTCAGGCAACGCCAAAGTCAACATACTTGAGTTCTCAGTTCTTCTCTCCATGTGTTTTCCTTTAGAACAGGACTTCCTTTTATAGACCAGAAGTGGAATGTAACAAAGTAAAAATAGTAAAGTGCTGTACTTAAGTAAAAAAAAAAAAAAAGTATCTGTACTGGAGTGCATTTTACAGTGAGTACTTTTTACTTTTACTTCACTACATTTGAGAGCGCTTTCTACCCCACTACATTTTTGAACAGGACTGAAAAAAAAAAAAAAAAAAAAAAAAAACCCCACAAATATACAAATAAAAACTAGTTGTTTGTCAGTTGTTTTTATTGAAGAAAATTCAGAACAAATCATTAAAAATCTAAATCATTGCATTTGAAGTTTTATTAGATCTCAAAATCTTGCTGAAATACATTTACTTTTTACTCTTTAAGTACATTTTTAAGCTCTTACTTTAATACTTTTACTTCAGTAGATTTTTCTTGTGATACTTTTTCTTTTACTTGAGTATTTCTTTACTCTGGTATCTGCTTTCCCCCCTCACATTAAGAGCGTCCATTCTGTCAATTCTTGTAAGTCTCGTTTAAAAACACACTTTTACTCACCGGGTTTTAACACGGCGTGAGAATTACGTGCTCCTCTGACTGTCTTATTGATTTTATTTGCTATTTTTCTATTTGCAAATTTTTGTATTTTTATGTTTTTTATTGACTTGTTTATTTATTTATTTTATGCTTTATTTTATTTAATGTGTTAATTTATATTGTGCCTACTCTGTGCAGCACTTGGGAGACTTCATGTTGGTAAAATGTGCGAAACAAATAAAGTTGGATTGGATTGGTTCTGTACTTTTACGTAAAGGTGCATTGTGTAACTTTTATGGTGGAGGATCTGTCAAATGCTTTTCTCCATGGAGATGTTATTGCTTTGTCTGGAATGATTCACAGTATGGTATTAAACCTTTTTGTTTTCATGGGAAACCAAACTAGACCAAGGCCCCGTCCACACTAGTTTGTATTCGAGTTGTTTTTATTGTGGATGCAGTGTTCGTCCACACTAATCCGATTGAAAATGGCTCCAGAGACGAAACAAACTGGTGCCGTCAGCTCCCACGAATTCATCTGAGTACAGATCTGATCCGGCACTGTGTGGCCGCCTGAAAACACTGATACGCTGATGTAGGCCTATGCACCACGGAGTAATTCACTGCCAAAACGCTAAGAGGCTAGAATATATGTTCACTCATATATATGGTCTGTGTGTACGACCTGCAGACGTATAATCTCTGAAAAGTTTAACATGAACCATCTTCAACGTGATAGAAGCACAGAACAGACTTACCATGAGCAGAACACCCCTCTGTCACAGAAAGAACAGTCATATTCCACTGAGTTGTGTCCTTTAGTCCGACAGAAGCTGAACCGCATTAGTGCACAATAACTGTTATAACAATAGCTGTTTTTTAAGCGCTTAGTTTATGCAAATGAGCCATGCGGTTTTAAGTTTCGTTTCTGTGAAATGTAAACAAATACGTATGCTCAAAACTGTGTGGACAGGGAAGGCTTGTGGACACAGAAACGACATGTCTGGACACAGATCTTTTCCGATATGGTGATACGCGGATTAATTTAAATGTTGTCCAAGTTACAGGTCAGATCTGTGGAGAGGCGACCCCGTTCACAGTCAGAACGCTTGTTTTTGTATGTATTTCTGAGCTATAAAACCACCTGTAATTAAAAAAAAAAAGTAAGGTAGAGCGTTTAATGTCTTACAGTAGAATATTCCAGGCAGAGCAATGATATAGCCAACCAACCAAATTACACAGTGCACCTTTAAAGTAGTAAAACTGAGTACTTCTTCCACACATTCCCGTTATCAGCCAGTTAGTTACACCTGACACGAGCCTTAACCACTGAAGCACCATGACTCACCCGCTCACATGCTCCTGTGTCTTTGTTCCCGTCACAGCAGGTGGGACGGAGCAGGATATCAGGTGCTGTCAGCTGAGAAAAGATAAACCACTATACTCAGAGCACTTCAGGAGCGTAGTGGAAAATGTGTGTCATTATATGTAAAGTTTGGAGTCAGCTTTACGTAGTGCGTCTATATGCTCTCGTGAGCGTCCTGTTTTTTTTGTGTGTCTATGTAAACAGAGTATCCTGATTGAACGTCAGCTGGATGTAAGCGCCGTTATGCCATCAGTTCTCGGAGGAAAAGTATGCTCGACATTTTCACAACATACATCTCACGGTACGATATTTATTGCAATATTTTGTGGAGGCTAAACAGCAAAGAATGAAGATTTAAAAGTGCTTAGAACTGTTATTTCTTCATGTAGTTTGCACCAAAACGAAGCAAAGGATCATGGTTGATGTAGTTCCCTCTGTTTTTTAGCTGTTGCTGCACCGTAACAATGAATTTAAGCAAAGAAACTTGTGATTCGATATATTGTGATGGATATTATTGAGAGACTTTTGACGATACGATATCACAGTATTTTGGTTATTGTTACACCCCTATGTAAAATGTTTTCAGTAATTTCTACTGGTGTTTGCACTGCGTTTAAGCCAAATTTTATGCTGTTGTAAAGCAGAAAACATCATCAGTTGTTTCGACTAGCATGACTGACGCAAATTGGGGAGTGACAAACAACATTTTTATATTTTTGTACGTGTTTTTGTTGTAATTATTGTAAATATTTTTGTAATTAATAATACATATGACATACATAGTACATATGATCACATGTAAATCGCAGTACTCTCTGGAATTGCCACACATTAATGGAATTTGTTGGAATTAATTTGTTCAATTTAATTAATTTTAATCTTCATGATTATTTATGTTTTGATTTGTTTTTATTATGATTTTAATGTATTTCTTATTCTGTAAAGCACTTTGAATTACTTTGTGTACGAATTGTGCTATACAAATAAACTTGCCTTGCCTTGCCTTGCCTTGCCTTGCCTAATCAGTGCGTAGGGCAGTACTTACTCACCCCACACCTGTCAGACCTGGACCTGTCACTGGACTTACTATATTGACTTATTGTTAAATGCATTAAAACTAGAACAATATATTTCTGGGCTCAGTAGTCATCTCCTGTGCATTTTTGCAATAATGTAGTGATTTTTGATTAAACAACTTGGAGTTGTGCATTAAAACTGCATAGCGCTCAACTCCTCGTTATTTAATGCTTACTTTTTGCGTTTGTGTCAAGGGCATAAAGTAGTTTTAGTATTATCATTCATCATTATATATCTGTATTCTTATATTGAGCTTTAAATTTTGTTTTTTGTGACAGACCTGGTTATACAGTATCAGCTGGGAGTGACTGGTTGTTGGTGCTGTGACATGAAGAAATGAATGAGTACGATTGTATTCATTCATTTTGTCATAGTTTTTGACATGTTTATGAAATTTCTATTTTATTTTTACTTGTACATTTACACTTATATGATTATTCCTTCTTTGACACCTGTTTCTTGCAATCTTTTTTGCTACTTATTTGGAATTTACTTTAGCCATTTATATTTTTTGCTCTTTGTTATTATATTGTGATGTGTGATCTAATGTGTGAGCTAATGCCCAAATAATTTCCCTTGTGGCTCAATAAAGTTTGTCTAAGTCAAATCCTAAACGGTCTGGGTGTGTGTTGACAGGTGCAGGACCCATGAGTCAGAGTGGTCCCTGTCTGTGGACCGGGCTCCCTCAGAGCAGCCCCGCCCCCTGTGAGCGCTTCAAACTGGCCTGCTGTAGTCATCAGCATCATGTGTACGTGCTGGGGGGCCGCCACTCCACCTGCTACAGCGACTTCTGGAGGTACAACGTAGGTAAGGACCTTTCATTCCATTTTATACACTTTTCTTAATTGATTATATTTCAGATTTACTGCAGTTTCTTGTTTTATCTCTGCCCCTTGTCCAAAAACAAAATAACATTGTACACTTAAATGAGGTTCAAATCACAAAAGTCTGTGGTTAGTGGGCAAACTTGTAACCTGACACATTTTGCTGTAGATGTTCTACCTGGTCCTGTGTCAAATATTTGATTTAGACTCAGGACTGGCATGATTAGTGAATAATCGGTAATTGATCATTACACTGAATGTAGCCTGCTGTGTGTAGCGTAGTGTAAGGAGACGAGGTTGGGTCTGACAGCACAAACAATGGAGTTGCGGCCTCACACATTGCTGCTCTGGCACACCTCCTTGAAGATCACAGCACCACTCAGTGAGTGCGTTTAAATGTACATCAGTGTCCCAGGTCTGATCGGGTTTTTTGAGTATCCCTGCATGTATCTTGGTTATTGCAACATAAAGTTGAGTGCACATGCATCCAAAAGATAAACACTTTTCAGTCGTTACATCACAACAGGAGCCAAAATAAATAAAGTGACCAACATATATAAAGTGAGTGAAATGACTTTATTACTAGGTTCAAGATTTGTGAATTTACCTTTTGGATATTTCATGGCAAAGTACAATCTTATCCCCCATTTGGGAGTTTAAGATCATCACGTTATAGAATCTGAAAATCACCAAACAAAATCACTGTGTTTGTTTCCAGTGTGTAACGAATGGACTGAGCTGAACTGCACCGGTGAAGCTGCACCAGAAGCACTCGAGGAGCATTCTATGGTGACCCATGAGGTACAAACCTGACAAAATGCATTACTCTATGTGTCTGATATTTCAATAAATAACCATATACTCTAATATTAATTAAAGGTCCTATATTACACAAAATGAATTCTTGTGAGTAGGGCTGAATATTCAATAGTTTTGTGTTGTTTGAGATCAATCGTGATCTCAAACAACACAATTTTGGGAGGGTCAAAGCTGCGTTTTTTGCAAGCTTTCTGGGTGTTTTTCAATGTTTAGTTTATGCAAATTAGTCATGTGGATTTAAGTTTTCTGTAAAACGTAAACAAATGATGTGATGTTCAGTCCTGGTTCTTTTCTGGTTTAGTTCTGGTTCAGTCCTGGTTTAGTCCTGGTTTAGACCTTGTTTAGACCTGGTGTAGTCCTGCTTTAATCCTGATTTAGACCTGGTTTAGTCTTGGTTCAATCTTGGTTTAGTCCTGGTTCAGTCCGTATGCGACGCAAAAGTCCGGCATCTCGATCAGTGTTTCTTCTGTTCAGTAAATAATCCCTGTGAAGCGATGACGGATTTTTGACAGTAGTAGTCACGCCGGGCACCCGCAGGTACCCGACCCGGTGCAGGACTCTGGTATGATATAAATTTATGTGACGTTTGCAAATGTTCATGTGCACTGAAACTTGATTTGAAAAAAAAAAAAAATAAAATCATGGATGAAATGAAAATCACAATATCTGCCAGAAAAATTGCAGTTAATTTTTTTCTTAAAATTGTTCAGCCCTACTTGTGAGCTTTAAGTCATGTTATAATGTTGTTAATTCATCAAAAACACACCTGGAGTTGTGTTTTGTTTCATTCACACGTTTGAGTAACTTTTATTATTAGCCTGTCTACATTTCCAAAGCTCAAAATGCTCTACTCCACCTTGTGATGTCACGTAGTGGTAGTTTTCAAGTTAACAGCTAGTACCTTTTGCCTTTAGTTCAGTACAGATAAATTCCAGAGCTGAAATTATCCAAATGATTCAAGTCAAGGTAAAGGATGAAGTTTAAGTGTGTAGTTTAAGTGTTTAGTGTATTATCACGTGACATCACAAGGTGGAATAGAGTTTTTCTGTTTGAGAGAAGAACTCAGCCTACATACATACGCAGGTTTTGTGTGTTAAACTTGTGTGACTGAAACAAAACACAACTCCAGGTCTGTATGTGATGAGCAAACATTATAACATAGATCAGAAAATAGCGTAATATGAGCCCTTTAAACAAAACTGAACTTAAAAATGTAACTGAATTATACTTTGAGTGCACCGTTTCACCCCTAATGCTTCGTGTTGATTTCAGGGTTTTCTCTTCGTGTTTGGAGGCATGCTGGACAGTGCGTACTCCAGCCTCAGATGTCCCCTCTGGGTGTTTGACATTAGTAAGTGAACGTGGAGCTCTGTGCTCTGCTAACACACGTGACACAGCTTGTTCACACACGTCCGTCCCACTTTACTGCTTCTGGGAAAGAATCCTGCTTAAAAGCTGAAGTATGTCGGGAGTAAACACAACTACTGTACTGTACATACCTCACCGGATTTGAGAATATTTTGATTTAAAGCGTTTATATTATATAAAAGTGACTCTTGTGAGTTTTAAGACATGTTATAATGCTGGCACCTTGTCAAAAACATGACCGGAGTTGTGTTTTGTTTCATCTACACATCATGAGTAATCTTTTATTATTGTTATTACTAGTCTGTTAACATAAGTTCAAATGCTCTACAACACCTTGTGATGTCATGGGGTGGTAATTTTCAAGTTAACAGATACCTTTTACCTTTAGTTCAGTAGAGATAAATCATCCAAATGACCTTAGTGAATGTGCATGGGGTTTAAAAACACAGTGGAGCACTTCCTGTATTACCACTAGGGGTGTGCAAAAATATCGAAATATCTATGTATTGTATAATTTCATGTGATGATACAGTATTGATATTGTGGGCTGCTGTATCGATATATTGTAGTATATATATTGAGTATTTTTTGGTATATTTTACTAAATTATTTTGTTACAGGGCTACAGTTTTGCTTGTTTAGAGAAAGGAAACTCTTTTATGCGACACATTTAACGTTTTCACTGTTCTGATGATTAAAATGTTTGTGTTTCCTATGAACTTTGCACAAGAAGTGGTTTTAAAAGACTTTTAGACATGATTTAGCCATTAATTATTACTGAACCGTATTGAAACGATTTGAAATATATTGTTTGGAATCGAAAGTGCTCTGTATCGAGGTACGTATCGTATCGGCAACTTCTTAATGATACCCAGCTCTAATTACCACATGACATCACAAGGTGGAACAGAGTGTTTTCTGTTTGTGTGTTTAACATCTGTGAATGACATAAAACAACTCTGTGCACTAATATGTTTGTGATGAGGAAACAACATTATAACATAGATCAGAAAACACTGTAGACCCTTTAAATGTTTCTATTTTTAGCTAAAAGAATAAGATGTTTAAGCCCATTCAAGACAAAAAGACATAATAATCTGTGTCAACATATTAAGATAATTGCTGTATTTAAACTACACTTAAACATGTCAGACGCAGCTTCAATTAGGGTTCAGTACAGTATGTTTAATGTGTGTAACGCGGCTGAGCTTAAGGGCTCAGTCTGTCAGGGATCTCTTTAAGAATGTTGTCAGTATATTCTCCTCTTCTATACAAGCTCGCACTAAAATCACTCCAGGTTTGAGTAACATGATCTGGAATTGTGCAAACACATTTTAGTAAAAATAATGACGCAATGGGCTCGTCAACACTTGCGCACACAAACAGAGGAGGGTAATACTCGTACAGTAGTTACATTTACTCAGCTATGTTTACCCGAGCAACTTTTTAAACAAATAGTAGTTTTCAAACACCATACTTTTACTCCTACTTAAAGGGCTCATATTACGCCATTTTCTAATTATTTCTCACATTATTTCTCTGTTATATAATGTTGTTTCCTCATCTCAAACATACCTGGAGTTGTGTTTTGTTTTCATTCTCACATTTAACACACTAACCCTGCGTATTTAGGCTGTGTTCTTCTCTCAGACTGAAAAGTACATTACCGGCCAAAACTTTTAGAACACCACACTTTTTCCTTTTTTTTTTTACTGTTTACTGTGGACCAAAAACTGAACTTTTGAGTCATGAAAGTGTCCACCTTTGCCAGATATAACAGCTGAACACACTCGTGGCTCATTCTTTTTACTGTAGAAAAGAGCAAATATTCTTCAGAAAGTTCTTCTCAAGTCTGTTGCAGAAGTTCCCATAAATGGTTGGCACTTGTAGGTTGCTCGGCTTTCACTCTTCTGTCCAGTTCATCCCAAACCAGCTCGATGGGGTTTAAGTTTGGAGACTGTGCTGGACACTCCATGTTTTCAAGCTTTACCATCTTGTTTTTTTTTTCCTGAGGTAGTTTTGGTAGAGCTTGGACTTGTGTTTTGTATCTTTTATCTTTTTTTCACCTCTGTCTGTTCAGTTCTTACCTTTGTACTATTTCAAGCTCTTCACTGGACTTGCACGAATTGAATTGCAATAAATAACTGGAAAAATGAAGGTGTTCTAAAACTTTTGACCGTTAGTGTATTGTCTGAAATACACTGTCCTGATGCTTTGCTGATGAGCTCCTTTGTGTTTGGTTCTTAGTGAAACAGAAGTGGGTCCAGTGGCGCGGAAAGACCCCACAGGTAAAATGCATTTCTTACTCAACAGTGCTCTTAAATGTATTATTTTTGATTAGAAATTCATGAATTAGTTAAAGGTGTACAGCTTAATATTTCTAGAGGAGGGTCTGCCAGCTGCTTGTCTCCACGGAAATGTTTCTGCTTTGCCTCGAATGTTCCACAGTATCGATTAAACCTATTCATCACACGGGAGACAAGCAGGTTACAGCACTACGCTACATTAGAGTTCAGATCTGTGGAGAGGCACCACTATGCACAGAAGGAATTACTGTCTTTCTGAGCAATGGAAACACAAGAAATGAATAAATGCTAGATGAATCACCCCTTATTGACCCTGTATTGCCTGTCTAAGTGACGTCAAGGCTTGGTTTCTTAAGAATTTCTTAAGAACCACTTTTACTCTCTGGCTTTTAGCACCACGTGAGTTATGTAGTACACAGTGCACTTTTAATAATGAAGTGATTTGTTTGTGTAACTGAAGGTAGAGACCCCCTCCAACAGAAAGGCCCACAGTGCGGTGGTGATCGGGTCGGCCATGCTGGTCTACGGAGGATACATTGACCTGAAGGGATCCTCTCAGGAGTTCTGGAGTTTGGACCTGGGTAAGCACAATATTGCCTTTTATTGTCACATCAAATGTGTGATTTTATGGGCTGGTTAAATCAGTAACTTAGCTCCTTTGCTGCTGGACAGCTGCATCCACAATAAACAGCGTTAAGGACATAAACACGCTGTTTTTAATCTTTCAATAAACATTTTTATCTGCACGATCGCTTCTCAGGGGTCAGATAATAACCTTGTGTCAAAGAAAATATTTTTAAGAACAGATGTTATATTTACTATATACAATATTTACATTTTTATTCCTGATTTGAAAATTTACTGTATGTCTATATTTTTTAAGCATTTATTTTCTTGAGAGACAGTTTTAACATTTTAGTTAGACAGTAGGGGTGTAACAATATCCAAGTCTGATGATACGATATCGTCACAGTATGAACCTCAGGGTACGATATTTATTGCGATATCGTGGGAAAGCTCATGATATGGTTGGGAGGCTCACAATTAGAGATGTAACAATATCCAAATCTCTTGGTACGATGTTTTCACGATTTACATCTAACAGTACGATATTTATTGCAATATTTTGTGGAGTCTAACAAAACTGAATATTCTACTTTTTCCTCTTAAAATGCCTTGACAAGAATGATTGATGAACTAAGACTTAAAAGTGCTTAGAAATGTTATTTCTTCTTGTAGTCTACACTGAAATGGAGCAAAGGATCATGGTCTATGTAGTTCCCTGTGTCTTTTTATAGCTACTGCTGCACCATAACTCTTTATTTAAGCAAAGAGACTTGTAATTCGATATATTGTGATGGTCCGCAATATTATTGGGAGAACTTTGACGATATTTGGGTTATTGTTACATCCCTATTAGATAGTTTAACACAGTGAGTAAGTTTGTTGAAGATTTGGTATTTTTCGTATTTCTATTTCTAGTATTCTGCATAAATAGTTGTATTTCTTGAACTCTGATGCAGGTGTAGTGTTGTGAGTGCAGCTGGGGTCAGATACATAGAGATAAGTTTTTAGAGCTTTGTCACACCCCCTTTTTAGTTGATTAACTGATGAAGAATTTCCACCGCAAATCTCTTTAGTCGATACATCCCTATCATGTATTTTAAAGTGACTTGCTGAGCAGATCTGTGTGGAGTGAACAGGTGTTGTTCTCTCACATGCTGCAGACTCCATGGTGTGGTCCCCTGTGGCCTCCTCTCCACAGACCTCATTAGGCCCAGGGCCGCGGCACAGTCACTCCTCCACAGCCTTCCACAGCTGCATGTACCTTTACGGGGGGCTCAAGGGCCTCCGCGAGCAGAGAGACTTCTGGATGTGGAACTGCACCAGCAGCACGTGGAGCTCCCTCAGAACCAAGTGAGTGACTCAAGGTTTTTATTCCACACTCTTCTAATGTTAATTATATGATGATTATTTACATTTTGATTTGTTGGTATTGTGAGTTTAATAATTTGTCTATCATTTGTTCATTCATTTTTCAAAATAAAACCAAAAAAATTAAGAAAACAAAAAAAAAACAAAAAAAACAGCAACAACTATTTTCTTCATTATTTGTCTCCAAAACCAAAATGAAAAAAATTGATATTTTGTTGCCGGACTTTAGCGCCGCATACAGACTGAACCAGAATTGAACCAGGACTAAAACAGGACTAAACCCAGTCTATAGCTGGTCTAAACCAGGACAAAACCAGGTCTGAAGTGTCAGGATGGCTCCGTAGACTGTCGGGTGACCAGGACTAAGACCAGGACCAGATCGGGACTGACACCAGTTTAGTCCTTGTTTAGTCCTGGTTTAGACTGGTCAGTCCATATGCGGCATAAAAATCCAGCATGGCAGTTTTTTCCATTATTAATTTAAACACAAACTCTAAAACTTATCAGTTATTTCAGGTTTTTTTTTTGGAGTCAAATAATGATGAAAATTGTTGTTTTTTCATTTTCTTATTTTTGTTTTTATTTTGAAATACGAATGAATGAAAGATACACAGATTTTTTATGTCTTTCTTGTCCTGTAAAACACTCTGAATTACTTTGTGTACAAATTGTTCTATACAAATAAACTTGACTTGTTTTGCCATGGACAACAACACAGAACTAGAGTTGCACCGATCTGATACTGGTATCAGATCACAGCGCCGATACTGAAAAATTTGCTGGATCGGATATCAGTTTCCAAATAACAGTTCAGTCGATATCCTGGTTTGGGAGAGATAAATAAATAAATAAATAACAGCTCCATAAAACATTTGGATCCATAACACAGTTTTGTCTCATTTTATTTCAGTTTAAATGAAATACCGGTAAATGCTGTTATCAGTCTCTGCACCAGTATCGATTGTTATTAGGTATCGGTAAATACTTAGAGCTGTAGTATTGAAATCGTTATTGGGACTGAAGAAGTTGAATCGGTGCATCTCCACTCAGAAATGACTGAGGCTTACAGTGGTCCTCCATGCTCTACTTTTGACTTATGCACACTCAGCTGAATGAAACCATAAAACTCAGTGAACTTATTCTGATTTCTGCGTTTTATTTGACTGGGCTTGGCATACACATTTTTATTATTATACTCTTAACTTTCCATGTCTACTCATCAGGTCTGGCCCTTCCAAACTGGTAGGACACAGCGCAGTGACCTACAAAGACTGCATGCTCATCTTCGGAGGATACGAGAGCCAAAACTCGCCTCAGAACTGCCTCTGGAGGTACAACTTCTCCTCCCAATCCTGGAACCAGCTCCCCACTCTGCCCGGCTCCCACCCTCCTCACAAAGTCCACCACTGCTGCGTCGGATTAGGCCCCAGCTACAGCCTTCAGTCGGGAAAATCAACTTTAACCTCAGAAACTCACCTCAATAACAAAATCAGACACTTCAAAAACAAGTGCTTCCCGACTCAGCTTAGCTTTTTGGGCTCGGAGAACGCGATCGAACTCCAAATGTTGACGCCGCAAAAAAGTAGTTCCTGTGAAAGCACTGACAAGGAGTGGAGAATGGACTGTTTGACTTTCGAAAACAAAGCGCTGAGAAAAAGACTGAGTTTTGAAGAGGAGCTGGATGAGAATATAAGCCAGAATCTGCCAGACATGATGCTGGTGATAGGAGGGAGACCATGCACGTTGCACAAACCTGTATCTGTGTGGCAAATGACGCTGACAGACTCTTAGCAGAAGAGCAGTTTATAAAGGAGGAGAAAAGGAAAACAAAACAAATGCATTGATTTAAAGAACATATGTTATGCTAATTTGACTTTTTGAAGATTTTAATTGTGTTACAGGTCCTATATTATGCAAAATTTACAGCTTTGAGCCATGTTACCTCCTTAAAAACATCCCTGAAGTTTTCTTTTATTCACACGTTTGAGTAATTCTTTATTATTAGTCTGGTTACGTCTCCAAAGCTCAAAATGCTCTGTTCCACCTTGTGATGTCATGAAGCAAGTTAACAGCTCCTTTTACCTTTTGTTCAGTAGCGATCAGTAATTCCAGGGCTGAAATTGTGAAAATGTATGAAGTTTAAAAACACAGTGGAGCACTTCCCGTATTACCACGGATCAGAAAATAGCGTAATATGGGCTCTTTAAAACTAGGGCTTATCATTTATTGGTGATATTGGAGGATTGTCTCAGATATCTTACATGATCGATGGTCTTCTTCTTTTTTTTTTTTTTTTTGGAGTCTTTATTTTTCTGTTACCTTAAGTTCTAAAGCAGAGGTTTTTAACAGGGGGGTTGTGAAATCTTTGGTTGATTTGACTTTTCTTTTTTTTTTTTTTTTTGAAGGATGAGGATGATTTGGTTTTCAGTGGGTTCTGTCTGTGCACTCCTTCATCACGTTTGTCTCTTTCTCTCTCTTCATTCCCTCTTCTCTCGCTCCCTGTCAAACTGAAAACACCTTAGTGCGGATTTTATCATTTCCTCTAGGCTACATGTGAAAAGTTTGGTTACCTTCACTTTTACGCACGGTGGAACATAAACTTTGCACGTACTACTGCGAATCAGGAAGGGGTCTGGCAACTTCATTCATTGGGCGCATTAACCAGGCTCCGCACTCCAAAGTCAGCCTCCTCTCTGTCCTCGGAGCGACTGGGAGAGGAGGTGGAGTCGTGTCTTTCGTCTCGTTCCTCAGCTCAGAATGACCAGAAAAGTTCAGTGTCCTACATCAGACTCTTGACCGTGCGCGCTGTGGCTCCTCTCTTGTTTAGTCAGATCATTTAAAAAGAGTCACACTTTGACCCCATTTTCCATGATGTCATTTCGTCATTTTGTTAAAGCGACTTCGATGGAATACATATACATATATACATAATACAATAACAGAGTAGCTTTGTTTATACGCGACATTAGGCCCAGTTTAATATAAAACACACTTGTATATCATATATTTAGTAGAGGGTCCCTGCTCCAGCCTGAAAAATGTTGAAAACCCCGTGTTCTAAAGCAAAGGTAGAGCATGTAAAAAGGCCAATAACATTACAAATAGTGCATATTATGTGTTCTTTAATTTCAATTTATTTTGTACAACCAAAGATTTCAACTCTCAGAACAGATTTTTATACCTCCACAAAATGCAAAGAAGAGGACAATTAATCAAACGTGTAAGCACAAAATGTAGTTCTGTTTACAGTTTTGACCTTAAAAACACACAATTTGTATAGTTAGAATTTTAAGCAAGTTTTTTTAATTTACATTTTTTATTTCAGTGACATAATGTAAAAACAATCCAACAAAAAAAAAAAAAAACAGTGTTATATTTTACTGTTTACTAATGTTTACTGAAACGTGACGTCATTACCCTTTGCTTTTCATGCTTACTGTGAATCCATCACTCTGTATATTTGTTTTTACATCTCGTTCAAGTGTTACAATGTTGTATAAAGTCAAAAAACAGAGCAAAGCTGTAATAAGAATGATCAGATTTTGATTGTTGTGTTATTTGTAACCACATAGTCTATTTATTAAACTATTAACACATTGAATTGACTGTGTTTTGGGGATATTCATTTGTCTATTTTAAAGTTTTAAGTAGAAAAGCTGCTGTCCCAAGTGAGGAGTGTGGTTTCCTTTGTGTTGCAATGCTGTCAGTTCAACACTAGATGGAGCCATAGGTCAATTTTTAGATGTGTGGTTTGTCATTTCTACTTCAGCTTTGAAACAGGAGTAAAACAAAGGTAGTAGAAATAAAAATTAAGATGTGTTTTACATGTTTATGCTTTTCTGCCTCTTCAGTGGGGTGCTCCACATGTGCTCCTTGGTACTTTTACTTACAGCTTTGTTATTATTCATATACTGAGCTTTACAGGATGAATTAAGAAGATGAAACTTGTCATTCTTCAGCAAAATGGTACGAATATGTCCCTTGTGCGTCTCATGAATGTATTTATTGTTGGAGATTTAACAATTACAGAGTTTGGATGGGTAGACTTTATATAACTTGTTATCAGATTCAATAATTTGATCAGATCTGTTCCGAAACCAGATAATTCACTGTCGTTGTTGAGGAGTAACTAAAGTATAACTAATTGTGTGTTTTCAGAATAAGCTACATATTTTGAGAAACTGTTCTTGCGTACAGTTACACTTTCATTTGTTGGTATACAGCATTACCTACTTTACTTTACTTTACTTTACTTAAACCTGCTGTTTCAAAACATAAACACTATTCTTGGGATGCACATACTAATTTTCTTTTAGATTTGGATTTACACAAACTTTATTGATCCACAAGTGAAATTATTTAGGCACAGTGGCTCACACATCACAATAAATATAATAACAAAGAGAAAAAAATATAAATAGTAATAAGAAATTCTAAATTAGTAGCAAAAAAGAACAAGAGACAAGTGTCAAATAAGACATAATTATATAAATGTAAATTATATAATTACAATATAAATGTGAATGTTTTGTAATTAGTCCTAAAGAAATGCACTGGAAAAGTTATTCTAATCACGTATCACAATTTTACCATGTTTAATGTGAAAATAATCAGAATACTGCACTCTGAATGTACCCTGTAATCAAGATATGCAGTACTCAGTAACTAACTCAGTTTCAACACCGATGACTATGACGTGCGTGGCATTACCTCATAAAAAACTGCGCAATAATGTTAATTTTATATGTCCTAAACCAGAGGTCATCAAACTAAGGCCCACGTGCCGACTCTGGCCCGCCACGCCCCTTTGACCGGCCCCCAGCCCCTCTGCCCCCCACCACCTGAACTGGCCCCATGAGGCAATCCTGGCCTATTTTTACTTTTTGGCAAATAATAACACGTCTGCATCTTGTATTTTGATGATTTTTTTCAAGTATTTCAAGTTCAAGTATTTATATTTAAATAATTATATGACGTATTTACATTTGCCGCAGAATTTTCGGCACCTGACAAGCTCAAGATTAAACAGTGACAGCCAACGCACCTGTAAAGTTCTGTAGTGCAGCTAAGGACAGCAAAATGTCTCGTGTTAAATTACGAAAAGTTGACAGAGATCCAAGGTTTCGAAGAACAGTGGGTGATTTTATTATTATTTTGTTCAGTGTAAGGACCGTGCAGTTTGTCTGATATGTAAAGAAAGTGTGGAGGTTTTCAAAGAATATAATCTGCGTCGTCAGGGTCATACAATTCTGTTATACGGCCGACCCGACCCCGACCTCCAGCACAGTCAGGAGTGATAATGTGGCCCCTAGAGAAAAAAGTTTGGTGACCCCTGCTCTAAACTCAAGACTGTAAGATAAAAAGGTCCTTATTTTTCTTATTATTATTATTTTTGTTTCATTTTTATTCAGTTTTATCCAAAAATGATGCCTTGAAACAAATACGTTCATAACTGGTTTTATTTTAAGTGCAATGACTCGTCTTGAACACTAGATGGCCTCATTTACTACAAAATTCGCAGCGTGACTCTCCCCCAACCCACTCCGCGCTCAGGACACACTTCAGATCATACTTTCTGAAGAATATCTCTTTTTTATGATTGAACCCTAAATGTTAAAAACGTATCGTAATGACAAGCTGATTTTCTCCGTCTCTTTTAAAGACTTTGACAGTTCTACGCGTGTGCCAACACGATAAATCCTGCGTTATTACGAATCTATTGCTGTATAAATGAACAATGAATAATACACAAGTTCAACATCAAGTTTTGGCTTTATCTGGAAACACTTTGGTGATTCACGGCGCTTTTTGGAAATCCCATGGCGCACCAGCACACAAACGCCACTGTTGTTAGCGCCAAACTTGCGGCTATGACGTTTCCCCCTTTGCGTTTTTTGAAACAATACCTCCCTAACATTTCACACGAGGCCAGGTGTCGTGCGCTGCAGCTGCTAGTTCGCGGTGAGCAATGCGCGTAGTGTTGTAGTAGTAGTAGTCGTGATATATTTCGCCGTGTAATCCCTTCCGTCCCACGTGGTTTTGACTCCGGTATAAAAACTTTGGGTGCGCGAGCCCCTGTTGTCGTGATTGCATAGGGTCTCGCAGTGTGCAGAGGAGAGGCAGAGGCAGCAGCAGCAGCAGCGCGAGTGGTACACGTACAGCATCTTGTTAAAAGGGGCGACGCACAGTTCTGGCCATTCAAACGCACCGGAGTTACGTAGCGAGTGCTGGGAGTTCAGTCCGTGTAGGTTTTGAATGGGAGAGAGCGCAAGGAGTTTGGAGCGGCGTTTGGGTCAGTTTTATGCGTCTTTTCCGCAACTTTTTCCCGTTTATTCTTTGACTTGGACTGAAGCTGATATGACACAAACGCGCCCTCGATACAAGATGAACTTTTATTTGGAGTTTTTCTGGAGTAACTAGCGCGGGGAGTACGGTGAATTTTGGATTTCTTGACGCACTCCTGGGACAGTTTGGGACATTTAAAGACAAAAAAACAAAAAACAAAAAAACGTGATTCTTAGTGGATTGTTTTGGAGACGTTTGCTTACGTCGCGTTTAATAATACGTGCTTTTGAACTGTAAGAGACAATGAGCGTGTCCACCGTGGCGTTGTGCAGTCTGGTGGCGTTGTGCGTCGTGGTGACTGTACTCGGAGCACAGAGCCCCACAGCCTCCTCATCTTCTTCCTCCTCGTCCTCATCGTCCAATTCACCCCAAGAATCGTGCGCGTCCTGCGGCCTGAGAGCGCCGGACCAGTCGGAGCGAGTAAACGTGGACTTTGTGGAGGCAGTGAAGAGGCACATTCTGAACCGGCTCCAGATGAGGGAGAGACCCAACATTACGCACCCCATCCCCAAGGCAGCCATGGTGACGGCGCTACGGAGGTTGCACGCGGGGAAAGTGCGCGAGGACGGACGCGTGGAGATCCCGAGTTTTGACGGACACGCTGCCTTCAACAACGAGGTGCAGGCGGAGACCTCGGAGATTATCAGTTTCGCCGAATCAGGTAATAATCTATTATTCATTGCGCGCGTTCAGTGGTGACCCCACGCTGAACCCGCTCACCTTTTGACTCGCTGTACCTCCGTGCGTTGGCACAAGACAGGATTATTGGTAAATAATGCGAAAGGCAGCCACAGAAAGCGGTTTCCTCAAGTTTTACGCACTGGAGTTGCGCATAGGTCCCGGTTACGCACTGCCAAAAGGTCACGCCATTAATCATTGGAGACTACGATGTAAACAAAGTCCTGTTTTCCACTAGCATGTTTACATTAATAGTTGCTAGAGACAATGTAAGATCTGTTTGGGAGTATTATCTCTTAAACCAAGACATTTATATTTCTAAAATCGTAACAAATTGAACACAGATTATGTAACTCTTCTGATCTGACAATAATTATGTCAAAATACAAGTTAATTTTAGATGTAGCTCAGAAAATACAGTATTATTATTATTACTACAGGAGCCTATTGTTTTAGAAGGAGCATTTCTTTGCCATTGTACAGGAACAAAGGCAGATTAACTTAATTGCTTCATACATTTTAGGTTAAACAAACCGGTACATCAGTGTCAAATTATTATTATTATTATTATTATTATTTCCCTTTTTTTTTGCCACTTTCTACAATTTACATCTAGATTTACAAACCTTTTTTTTGTTATGTTTTTAGTCTTTTCATGTCACATTCCACTTCATTGTAGAATTTACTTCTTCGGCCAAAATTGACAATCAAGCTTTCTAAAACTACAGGTCAAGGGTCAAGGGGCTGCTTCAACAAAATGACTATAGACCAGGCTTAGCCCAGTTTTGTTTAAAATAGAACGCGATTCGTCAAGTGTATTTGACATTTAGAGGAAGAGTAATGTCCATTTAGGATAGTTCGATGGGGCACTTTGTTACCACGGCAACAGGCAATCAAACGTACACTATAAACAACAGCTAATCCTCCAGATGACCCGCAATATGCCCATGTACGCCCACTTAAGAGTCTTTTCCGTCAAAACACAGTTCAAGCGCCAGTGCCATATGTGAAGATGTTAGTCTTCAAATTTACTTACTATTATTTTAGCTGGACTTCTGTAGAAAAATGTGTTGAAAATTAAGCCCAAACGTTTCAATGATGTAGTTGAAAACACTGAACACGAGTTTTGTTACAAGTTTTTGAACATTCAGTGTCAAAACAAGGCGATTTTGGCACATCGTTCCCCAACAGAGCAAGTTTAAGTAAATTAAACTTAATCAACTTAGATAAGCTTAAGTTGTTGCTGAGTTGAACACCAAAACCTGACCTAATGCCACTTAAGAGGTTCTATGTGAGGGTAATTGATATTTTGCATACAGCCAACTTTACTAAGATGCTTTGTAAGTACTTTTAAGAGGCTAGTAATAGTAATAGTAGAAGTAGTTACAATACATTACTTCACTTGCATTGTGTACTCTTCTGCCGTGGTACTTGAGAGCTCTTCTTCCGCCTTAAAGCTTCACCGTGTAACTTTTATGATTGGAGGTCTTGTCTCCATGGAGATGTCATAGCTTTAGATAAATGTCCCACAGTGCGGCATTGAAGCAAGTTGGATGGATCTTTGAAGCGACGATTCGT